CATACACACACACACACACACACACGCACACACACACCCTTTAGATAGCATATTCAAGATTTGTATGTGCAAAAGTACTCGTCAGAGAATGTGCCATCTTTGTTAGCTTTTCGTTTGATTTTGGGTTCCTTTTAAATGGGCTAAATATTTCTTAAAATCATCTAAGATTTTAGCAAGGAGACTATTCTGATCGTCCAAAATTTCGACTTTGTCACTTTGAACGACAGAATTGCAGTAAGCATCCGAAGAATGGTCAAATATATTTTTTAACTTAAAAAGAATCCTTTTCCCCTGATTGCCTTCAAGGCGGGAAAACGGCAACAAGAGATGACTACACGATTTTTTTGATCAATTAGAGATGTAAAAATTCTTAAGAAAAACATTTTTTATTAAGACAAGGCACATATATGTGCATATTACAAAGGGCAATTCAAAGGCTTTAGTATATATAATATAATAAAGCGCATTACATATTGAGTTGTATTAGTCTTCTACGGACTATATAGCTTTCCAAACTTGAATAAATTTTTTGACGAGAATAGATATTAAACAAGTAGGTATTTCAAAAAATTTGTGTAAAATAACTTATATGATAGACTAAAAAAATATATTGGTCCTGAAGGCGAACAGATGGAAGAAGAATGAAGAGATTATTTCTTATCTAGTTCTTATCTACTTTTATTTCCCTCCATAAACTCTTTCTCTGTATTCATCTAACGTGAAGGTGGTGCACTGTTACTTGTTTATAAAGTTTTATTGTTTATTATTTGTGAAAGATTTAATTTTAATTAATTTTGCGAAAATTGTTCGCTTGGTATTCCTACTGGTCTTAATAATAATTTTAAGAGAGTCCCAGCTTTCCTTATCTCTTTTAAATTTATTAATTTTTTGTTTTATTGAAGATTCCCTTCATTTTCGTGAGATATCGAAGGATAGATAGTTGGTTTAATAAAATTATCTATCTATCAAATTCGATTGTATTATTAAATAATTTTTACAAACTTTGTTTGTCTTAAATGTGTTGAATTTTATTTATTATAAAAACAGAATCAAATGATTATTTCTCTTAAAATCTTAATTATGTTGTTATTTTTATCGATAACAAAATTAAAAGAGAAAGAGAGAATTAGTTTTTAATGCGCTCTTATTGGTATTACTGAGCACAGTTTCAGTGCAGCTAAGCCATGAGTTAAGATAAATAAAATATGTTGTATGCTGATCTCTGTCTTCGGTCTTCGGCTTGAATTCAAATTGAGCGTCTATCGCAGTATAATTTTGTCAGTTGTCAGTGTTTGGTTGGTTTAGACGCATTAGGATAATACGCATGCGTTACGACGGTTTATGTTTCATAAGAGACAAACGGTGGTTCTGCATTTCTTTAATTGGGAAAAATTTTTAAATAACAAAATAAAAAAAGAACAAACTTTATGTGTGCACTGCTCAATGTGTGCGTGCGTGTTTATTCTTTTGTACATTAATTTAGGGCAATTTCTTTTTTATTTTTTTTTTATTTTGTAATATTTAAATGAAAAAATTGCAAGGAATATAATAAAATTGTTGTAATAATATGAAAATATAAATAAAATTAAGAAAAATATGCATATTTAAAAAATGTAAGAGAGAGAGAGAGAGGAAAAGAGAGAAAGAGCGAGCGAGAGAGAAAGAGAGAGAGGGTGAGAGTGAATGAAAGGGAGTAAAAGGAGAGGAATAAGAAAAAGAAGAAGAATTAGAGTAGTGAAGTGTATATGCGAAAGGAAAACGGATATAAGAATTACCAAGAAAAAGCCATTGGCAATAACTAACGCTCTTTTATGACAAAGTTATACAAAAGTTTGAAGCAATGACTAGAAAAACCAAATGAAAACGAAGCAAACTAACAAAAAGAAATAAAACCTGAAATAAAAAACAAAAAAGCAAAAAAAAAATTATTTTCTGTACATAGCGCAGTGAATGCAGTGGCGGTATTTCGAACCAAGTTAAATGACCAAGAAAAGAAATATTGCGGATTCTTTTGTGTATTTATATGCTACATAAAAGGAATGTTTGCATATACGCACATATATATATATACATATACAAAAAAATAAAAAAATAAATATATATATATATATATATATATATATATAAAAATATATATATGTATTATAGTGAAAAATGCGCTTTGATATTTGAAAGAAACGTAAAGTTTGGAAAAAAAAATTGATAAATAAATTCCCGCTTACTAAAGTGATCTTTGAGGATAAATCATAAAAAATAAAAAGCGAGCTTAAAAAGTGTTTACAAAAAATGTAAATCATTATTTGTCGCAAACTCTTAATAAAATTGGAAAACAACTTTAAGAAAACTTTTTCCACGGCCACATAAGCACAAAAGTTTCTAGGGAGTGTTTGAGAATTTATTGTCATTCTGGAATTCTGGATTTTACGTGTTAGCCACAAAACTGGATTACAATGTGGCTGCTGGTTAAAAACCACACCTTTGCCAAATCGGATATATTTTGGATAAAATATCTGATTTATTTTATCATTATATTTGGATTATTTAATATTATAAATGCGGCGGGTAAGTGCCTTAATATATAATAATAAAAATGCATATATATTCAATAAGTGAGAGCTTTTTCTTTTTTTCCCTTTTTTTTTTTTTTTTTCTGTTACACTCGAAATGCTGAAATCATATTTTCTCCATTTTGTTTTTTCTCTACAGCAATTCAATCTTTCAGTTTAATCGATCATATAAAAACTCAAACGACATATGCAATACAAACACATATACATATATGTATATAAGTCAGCCACTAACACAGCGAGTTGAAATTTTAGTTATACACACGTAAACAGATTCCTTTTTTATTCAATTGCTGCTTTGTCTCTCTGCATATACCAACATCTCGTAGATTTTTAGTAGTCTGGTTATATATAATGTATGTTGGTGTTCGTGTATGGATGTGTAAGTGTAGCGTGTGTTTAATAATTCCTTTGTACATTGTTTCACAAGCAAAATCGGTTTTAGCCGAGACACATACCACCATCACCACCATTATCATAATATCGTTAGCGAGCGGACTATGTTAAGAGAAGAGATACAGACATTGAACTCCCTTTGTCTGTGCTAAACGAATACACCTTAGAGATTTTCAGTGCCGTTTGTTTTCTGTTTTCTCTCCTTCATATTTTTACACTATATATATACATATACGTGTATATATATATATATATATATATATATACGCTATAATAACTCTTCTTTACTCTGTTGTTACGGTTCGTGTTTCTTTCTATATCTTTTCGAATTGTTTTTTCTTTTCTTTTCTTTTTTTTTTTTTTTTTTCTCTGCTTTTTTCCTTCTCAAATTCATATTAGCATTGGTTCTGATTCGCGTATATACGATTCAAATAAAGTGTGAGAAAGAGATGAAAGCTAAGCTTGAAAAGAGAAAGAGAAATGAAGCACAAAGAAAACTGAAACACATCCTTTAGATTTTAGTGATTATTTTTCCACAGGGAGAAATCTCGGCGTTCGACGGCACGCATACATCGATATTTAATGTAAATCTAGTGAGAAAGAGCGAGAGAGAGAGAGAAGGGATAGTCAGGCTGTATATGTTGGTACGCAGGCGTAGTTTTATGCATTCGCTATGTACCTCGGAGTATAGACAGGTGTCTGTCTGCTATTTTTTGTGCTCTTGTTTTTTTGGCTTTTCTTTGTTTGAATTTCTTTTTACACTTAGACGCAGGAAGGTTACGAAAAGAGGAAATAATATAAAAACGAAATAAGCAGAAAATAATCATTTTTCGAGAGATATAATAAATACATAAATAATACTTACAAAATGTAAACTACGGAGCCGACGGTTAAATCAAAATAATGCCTTAACTCTTTCGTTTTTTTTTTTTTTTTTTCTTTTCTTTTCTATACCACTTGTTAGAATTTCGCATTATAATAAATAAAAGATTTTTGTGAACAAGACATCATATTTTATTGCTAGAGAGTTAATAACGAGAAGTTAAATGATTTTATCCGTATATATATGTACTTTTAAATATCAATTAATTATCAAATAGTTCTTAAGGCAAATAATGCATAATTTCCCTAAAGCGCTTGTCTTGCGAATGAAGTCTTAATTGCGGGGGAACAAGATGAAATGAAATGCATGGAGTTAATTTTAATTTCAATACATTTTTACTATGTCAGCAATATTTTCAACTTATTTTCTTATTTTCAGGCTGCTGGGCAGCCGCTATCTCCAAAAATGTTTACTAAACAATAAGTAACTTTTTTTATGTAATGATATATAAATTTTGTAATTTTTCCCTAAATCTGTATATATATATATATATTTGTATAGCTGCTTGCTACGAGGAGTAAAAGCTTGATATTTATATTTTATATTTGTATGTGTGTTATTTGGCGGTGATGTAAATTTTTGGAATACTTAACTTAAGCGCGTGCTCCTTGCATATTCAAGGTTTTTTCTGAAAAGCGAATTGATTGCATGACAACATCTTCTCAGTTACAAAAGGAAAAGCGCTGAACACTATTTGATTGTCAATAGTTGATAAGTAAATTATTTATTTTATCTATTTGCTTGCATTACATATTTGAGAGGTTTAATTTTGATGTCGTGCACCACTCAAAACCGAATGCAAGCGATTAGACCGTACGAGCGAACTCTAGATTTTCTTTCTAAATGAAGTTGGAATTACGATTAGGATAAACACGCAATGATTATGGAAAGAAAAATTAATTACTTTTTTGTTTTAATTAATTACTATGATGTACTTCTCTCCATTTTATAAGTAATAATGTAAAAATTACTTGAATATCAAATCATTTATATCAATTATACTTGAACTGAATATTTCAGTAACTTCAGTAACCTCCGTCTAATGCCGGTATGTTTTATTGTTTACTTTTCTAAAGGATATTTGAAAAAGTTTGGTTTTTTTTTTTTTTTTTTGTGATACATACTTGTGCCAGGGACAGAAAGATATTACAAAACGTAGTAAGTAGCATTAAAGCCCACGTGGCGAGACTGTTCAAAATTAATTCGAGGAATTCAGTGCAATAAGAAGTTGAAGACTTTCATTTTGCTTTCATAGAGTTTTCACGTGGACCGTGAAATAGATGCATCCTCTCTAAAGTTGTGTGAAAGTAAAGTGGCTTGTAAAGTAATTAATTTTTCCATTAATAATATTAGATGAGTCGAGCATATTGTTGTAGCGCAACAGAAAAAACGGCTAGTTGATCAGTTTCGAATTTAGGGGAAAACATACAACTCTATTGCCGCATCAATAGGTCGGGGTCACTAGGTTGTAAGAAAATTGGCGAATAAGTTTGCAAATAGTCATAATTGAATAAGTTGAAAGTTCACTTCAAAGCTGCACAATTTAAGTCGGGAATAGGCTTACTTAACATGTAACACGTCTCAGCTTTAGCAAAGATCAAAAGCGATGCTATTACATGCTTTTGAGAGCCATACCTGAAAAGTTCAATGTTAACATTTGTAAGAAAATTAGCGCACAAACTTGCCAGTAGCCAGGATCGGAGCTCAAGCAAGTTTGAAGCCCATTTAAATGAAGAACAGCCTCTGCTGTAACACGTCTCATCTTCAGTCTAAGCAATTTTGCACAGTTCTAAAACCTCTAAGTGTTCGAAATTCGTGTATAAGAATTTCTTAGAAATACATTCACCATTGGATCGAAATAATTAACTTTGTGATTACGTTAAATTTGGGAAAAGTTTGATAACCAGTCGGAATCGAATAAAAACTTTTACTGTTTTTTTGTTGTGGTGTGTAACTCAATCGCAAAGATAATATTGCAAAGATTATTATCGCTGTGTACCGGTTGTGCAATACTCCCTCTAAACATTTTCGTTTAGGATCGTCGGTATTGCCATTTGCTGTGTCCTGTGCAACGAAATAATTTTTTCTCTTAAGCTTAATGAATTATTCTTCGATATAACGACAAAGACCTCAATGGATGGGATCTTCTTCAAGATGCCACTGCAAATTCGCCACTGCCTCCGTTTAAAGTATATAAAAAATATTCATTGGAATTTCGCTGAGATATGTGCTTGAAATATCTTCTTACAATTACTTAAATATGAAATTGCAATAAAAAAAAAAAAAAATGGATTAAACAAGTGTTGAACTAGATGAGTTTGTGGTGATAGACTGAGACGGAGGCCAAGGCTAGCTATCTAGATCAAAAACCGGTATCAATTGTGATACCCGGTTTGCGATTTTATCCGCATAATATAGGATTATATTGATTTTAATTTTCGTACACTCCATGAGTGTTTGACTGAGGCCTTTACGCTTCGATTTACTTCGGTTTGTAACCATTATGGATGTAGTGCCGAGTGTTCAAAGTAGTCTATGATTTTTTTTTTCTTTTTTGGATAAACAATTTCACAATTAAATGATTGAAACGATCTCCAGTTACAAAAAAAGCATTTATGCCTTTTGTTGTGGCTTGGGGAACTATTGGAAGCTATAGGAGTAAGAGTAAATTTTAAATATGAACTTGCATTTCATGTCTTATGTGTTTATCTATATATGTATGTACGTATGTATCTATTTACATATGTACATACGTATAAGTGTTGGCTCGCCTATCTTTATAAACATATACTATACTGTATATATATATATATATATCTCGATAAAATTTAAGTTAGACTTAAACGCTCTTTTGGTTTTGGTTTGCCTGCTTTTTTTTCCTCTTATCAAAGTTCAGTTTTCGGTTGTTTAGCACTTTTATACTTATACAAAAATTTTGATGGGAATAATTTAATTATCGTGTATAAAAATCCACAGACAGATATGAGTCTTGTTTTTTATATCATAAAACAAAAAAAAAAAAAAACCGAATGAATTCTTTGAAGAAACACCTGAAGAAAAAATTTCTCACCAAACATTATGAACATTTTCCCGGCAGACACACTCATATATGTATGTATATATGAAAATGTTGTCCAGTTAACCTAACACTAAATCAACGAAATAATTACAACAATAATAATATTTAATTAAAATACATTTATTTTGATATCTCAATTAAGTGCTCGTAAACTGTTATATAATTCGTATGTAACGACACTTATGGTATATGTTCGTACATCATTTTTCCTTTTTAATGCATAACTTGTAAATATTCTTATAAGAAAGTTCTCTTATTTTCTTATACAAAAATATTTTCCATAAAGATTTGTGTGATAATTTTAAGCGTCTTCTATATGCCATATATTCGCATGACCAGCCGAGTACTATTAAGTCATTGTTCCCGGGTTCAAGTCAGATTTGTTCAGTTTATTCGTAGCTACAGTTAGTGCTTATTGATTGGGCACACTGCTGCCCATAGGCTACGGTCACTAACTCCCTACCTCCTCTCCGTTTCCTCTGTTATTTTTGACCGTCAGTTTGTCACATGCATATATCTGCAGATATCCCCAGATTGCTTGTTCATATTAGAAAAATGGAAAAATGCCTGAGTAATAAATCAATTTGGTCCTCTTAGTGATTATCGGCAAAAGTGCAAGTAACTGCTTTTAAGAAGC